AACTCAAAGAGCTAGAGCTAAGATATTAAGCATGAAACATCTTCTAATGAGTGTCTACCAAGATTATTCAAATAAAAGTCCTGGGGTCAAAATTTGCCCCGTCCCAGGGGGTCATTGATTTTCCCTATATGCATATAGTAAAAACTTAAAAAATCTTCTTCTAAAAAACCGAAAGAGCTAGAGCTTAGATATTTGGCATGAAACATGTTCTAATGGATGTCTACCAAGTTTGTTCAAATAAAAGCCCTTGGGTCAAAATTGGCCCCGCCCCAGGGGGTCATTGATTTTCCCTATATGCATATAGTAAAAACTTAAAAAAATCTTCTTTTAAAGAACCCAAAGAGCTAGACCTAAGATATTAAGCATGAAACATCTTCTAATCAGTGTCTACCAAGATTGTTCAAATAAAAGCCCTGGGGTCAAATTGGCCCCGCCCCAGGGGGTCATTGATTTTCCCTATATGCATATAGTAAAAACTTTAAAAAGTCTTCTTCTAAAAAAACCCAAAGAGCTAGAGCTTAGATATTTGGCATAAAACATGTTCTAATGGATGTCTACCAAGATTGTTCAAATAAAAAGCCCTGGGGTCAAAATTGGCCCAGCCCCAGGGGGGTCATTGATTATTTTCCCTATTTGCATATAGTAAAAACTCAAAAAAATCTTCTCTTAAAGAACCCAAAGAGCTAGAGCTAAGATATTAAGCATGAAACATCTTCTTATCAGTGTCTACCAAGTTTGTTCAAATAAAAGCCCTGGGGTCAAAATTGGCCCCGCCCCAGGGGGTCATTGATTTTCCCTATATGCATATAGTAAAAACTTAAAAAAAATTCTTTTAAAGAACCCAAAGAGCTAGAGCTAAGATATTTAGCATGAAACATATTATAATGGGTGTCTACCAAATTTGTTCAAATAAAAGCCCTGGGGTCAAAATTGGCCCTGTCCCAGGGGTTATTGATTTTCCCTATATACATAGATTAAAAAGTTAAAAATCTTCTATTAAAGAACCAAAAGAGCTAGAGCTAAGATATTTAGCATGAAACATGTTGTAATGGATGTTTACCAAGTTTGTTCAAATAAAAGCCCTTGGGTCAAAATTGGCCCTGCCAGGGAGAAGGGGGAGGGGCAAAAGTCATTGTTATTCATTATTTGTGTATAGTAAAAACTTAACATCATGAAATATCTTTTAATGGGTGTCTTCCAAGTTTGTTCAAATAAAAGCCCTTTGGTTTAAACTGGCCCGGCCCTGGGGGCCTTTGTTCAGGTGAGCGACCCCAGGGCCATCATGGCCCTCTTGTTGTAACATTTTGATTGTTAGACTATCAATAAGCACCAGTAACATGGTTTTGTCATGCGTAATGCACATTTGTTTCACAATTGGATACTTTATGTGGGGTGAGGGGGTGTTTTAGTTTTTTTCATCACATTTTATTTTTCTCCTCTATAATGAGTGTTATGGTAAAAATGTTTTAAATATATTATATATAGGATTACCTATACCAAGTGATATATATCATCGGAAAGGTCATTACATTTTCTATGTGCATGTAAAAATAATTTAGTAAGAAAATGAAACAGATAATAGTGGTGGTTACTCCATTATCACCAAAACAAAAAAACACACAAAAAAAAACAAAAAAAATCCAAAAAAGATGCTTATGTATTACATTACATATAAAATTGGGCAATTTTAGGGTATAACAATGTCTGTATCTATATTTTGAGTCATGCTATTATAAAAAACTTTAAGGCACATTTAATGTATTAATTAAGTTTGGCATTTGGGAAAACCTAACAAAGTAATTGCAAATGCAATATATTTTCAAAAAAAAAAGCCTGCATTATATGTTGTTTGTTCCGAAATAATTTGCCCATTTACTGTGCAGCAGGCAATGTGCACTCTCAGCAGGACCTAATGTTTCTATGTCTACTTATTTACAAATACATAAATATAGAGATAAATAAGTTATATACAAATAAAACATAAAATCTATCACCAAAATTATATTTTTTCTTAAAATTATACATTTTTTTCTCACTAAACATACTACCATATATTATAAGAATGCCCTAGGAAGTAATTTTAGGTCCTTTGGGCCTCCCTAGCAGTTCTTTGCGCACCTGAGCAGTCCTTCGCGGTCTGGCAACTCATCGAAAACATAAAATTTATCACCACAATTATATTTTTTCTTAAAATTATACATTTTTTCTCACTAAATATACTACCATATATTATAAGAATGCCCTAGGAAGTAATTTAAGGTCCTTTGGGCCTCGCTTATAGTCTTTTGTGTACCTGAGCAGTCCTAAGCGGTCTGGCAACTCATCGAAAACATAAAATTTATCACCAAAATTATATTTTTTCTTAAAATTATACATTTTTTTCTCACTAAATATACTACCATATATTATAAGAATGCCCTAGGAAGTAATTTAAGGTCCTTTGTGCCTCCCTAGCAGTTCTTTGCGCACCTGAGCAGTCCTTAGCGGTCCAGCAACTCATCGAAAACATAAAATCTATCACCAAAATTATATTTTTTCTTAAATTTATACATTTTTTCTCACTAAATATACTACCATATATTATAAGAATGCCCTAGGAAGTAATTTAAGGTCCTTTGGCCCTCGCTTATAGTCTTTTGTGTACCTGAGCAGTCCTTAGCGGTCTGGCAACTCATCGAAAACATAAAATCTATCACCAAAATTATATTTTTTCTTAAAATTATACATTTTTTCTCACTAAACATACTACCATATATTATAAGAATGCCCTAGGAAGTAATTTAAGGTCCTTTGTGCCTCCCTAGCAGTTCTTTGCGCACCTGAGCTCTCCTTAGCGGTCCAGCAACTCATCGAAAACATAAAATCTATCACCAAAATTATATTTTTTCTTAAAATTATACATTTTTTCTCACTAAATATACTACCATATATTATAAGAATGCCCTAGGAAGTAATTTAAGGTCCTTTGGGCCTCGCTTATAGTCTTTTGTGTACCTGAGCAGTCCTAAGCAGTCTGGCAACTCATCGAAAACATAAAATCTATCACCAAAATTATATTTTTTCTTAAAATTATACATTTTTTCTCACTAAACATACTACCATATATTATAAGAATGCCCTAGGAGATATTTAAATGTCCTTTGTGTCTCCCTAGCAGTCCTTTGTGCCCCTAGGAGGTATTTTAAGATTCTTTGTACCTCCCTAGCAGTCCTTAGCGGTCCTCCAATTCATCGAAAACATAAATTCTATCACCAAAATTATATTTTTTCTTAAAATAATACATTTTTTATCTATTAACTTACTACAATATAATATAAAAATGCCCTAGGAAGTAATTTAAGGTCCTTTGTGCCTCCCTAGCAGTTGTTAGTGCACCTGAGCAGTCCTTAGCGGTCCGGCAACTCATTGAAAGCATAAATTCTATCACCAAAATTATATTTTTTCTTAAAATTATACATTTTTTCTCACTAAACATACTACCATATATTATAAGAATGCCCTAGGAGATATTTAAATGTCCTTTGTGCCTCCCTAGCAGTCCTTTGTGCCCCTAGGAGGTATTTTAAGATTCTTTGTACCTCCCTAGCAGTCCTTAGCGGTCCGGCAACTCATCGAAAACATAAATTCTATCACCAAAATTATATTTTTTCTTAAAATAATACATTTTTTATCTATTAACTTACTACAATATAATATTAAAATGCCCAAAGAAGTAATTTAAGGTCCTTTGTGCCTCTCTAGCAGTTGTCAGTGCACCTGAGCAGTCCTTAACGGTCCGGCAACTCATCGAAAGCATAAATTCTATTACCAAAATTATATTTTTTTTTTTAAATTATACATTTTTTGTCACTAAACATACTACCATATATTATTAGAATGCCCTAGGAGGTATTTAAATGTCCTTTTTGCCTCCCTTGCAGTCCTTTGTGCCCCTAGGAGGTATTTTAAGATTCTTTGTACTTCCCTAGCAGTCCTAAGGGGTCCTGCAACTCATCAAAAACATAAATTCTATCACCAAAATTATATTTTTTTCTTACAATAATACATTTTTGTCTATTAACTTACTACCATATATTATAAGAATGTTCTAGGAGGGATTTGAAGGTCCTTTGTGCCTCCCTAGCAGTTGTTAGTGCACCTGAGCATTCCTTAGCGGTCCGACAACTCTTCAAAAACATGAATTTTATCACTTTAATGATATTTATCCTTAAAATTATACATTTTTATCACTAAACATACTACCATGTATTATAAGAATGCCCTTACAGGTATTTTAAGGTCCTTTGTGCCTCCTTAGGAAATATTTTAAGGTCCCTAGCAGTCCTTCTCGCACCTGAGCAGTCCTTAGGGGTCCCGCAGCTCATCAAAAACATATATTCTATCACCAAAATTATATTTTTTCTTACAATAATACATTTTTTATCTATAAACTTACTACAATATAATATAAAAATGCCCTAGGAAGTAATTTAAGGTCCTTTGTGCCTCCTTAGCAGTTGTTAGTGCACCTGAGCAGTCCTTAGCGGTCCGACAACTCTTCAAAAACATAAATTTTATCACTAAAATGATATTTTTTCTTAAAATAATACATTTTTTGTCACTAAACATACTACCTTGTATTATAAGAATGCCCTAGGAGGTATTTTAAGGTCCTTTGTGCCTCCTTAGCAGTCTTTTGTGTATTTGAGCAGTCCTTAGCGGTCCGACAACTCATAAAATTTTCACAAAAATCATATTTTTTCTTAAAATTATAATTTTTTTTTCACTAAAAATAATACCATGTAATATAAGAATGGCCTAGGAGGTATTTTAAGGTCCTTTGTGCCTCTTTAGTAGTCCTTTGTGGCTCCTTAGCAGTCCTTAGCAGTCCTTAGCGGTCCTTAGCAGTGTTTAGTAGGACCGGATAATTTTGGCCAAACCCATTTTGTCGCTGACGCATAACATTTCTTCATTTAACAATTACAAAAAAAATCGTGAGTCTTCAACAAATTTGTTATTACCTTTATGTCAAGATGGTGTTTTCGTCCTTGAACAAGACACAAACAAAGTAAAAAGATCAAATTTTTTCCCGATAACGAAATTTTCGTCGATTTGGCAGCCATGTTTGCTAAATAAATCCCAAAGTTATAAGAACACTATTGATTGGTTTAGCTGAAATCACTGCCTGTCAAGGAACCAATCAAAACCAAGGTTTTAGTTTGAGTTATTTCGGATTCTCACGGTGTTTATCCATGCAAACGTCTAGCAGACAAAATCTCCAAAAGGCGAAAGACATTTATCAATGTAACCAGGTACGTATATTAATAATTATGTTAATATACGTACCTGATGTAACTTGTGTCTTTTTATAGTTTATTTTGGTGCATTTTAAGAAGATCCATATTTTAAAATCCTAACTCTAGAAGTCATCAGTGATTTTGATATAGAAACTTAAATAGGTAACAAGACAACTCACCCCCCAGACGATTCACCCCTCAAAAAAGCAAGACAACTCACCCCTCAAGACAGTTCACCCCTCAAAATAGATAAGACAATTCACCCCTCATAAATGATAATCATGTTTATGGGTAGAAAGGATTAAAAAAGTCTGTATATTTCAAAGATTTAAGATAATTACCATATCTATCCATCTATCTAGATAATAGTCACTTAACACCTAATTAGAGATAATTACGATCAAAGGAAGTGTGAAAGGGATTAAGGCCTATTGATAATCATTAATTAATTCCTTTCAAAATGAAAGGGATTAAAGAGCAAATGATTATCACATGTTAATATCTTTGATATGTCATCTTATAATAGCATCACTAGCACTTAAACAAATTAAGACAAATTTATGGTGAATTTGTAATTTTTATAGTTTGTATGTAAATAAAATGAAAAAATATAATCACATAGTAACAAATATTATTTTTTAAGTAAAAAATTATTATAATTAATTTAAATATGACTAATTTATAAATATCAATTTAGTAAAGAAACATAACAAATTTGTTTATTCCATCTTCTAATTTTAAGATAAATTTCATCAAAATTAAAGTTAAGAAAATGGGGGGTGAATTGTCTGTGTCAAAAATCCAATAATGTGGGGTGAACTGTCTGGGGGGTGAGTTGTCTGGAAAAAATGGCTTAGGGTGAATCGTCTGGGGGGTGAGTTGTCTGTAAGCCCTTAAATATATTCCACAGATACTTGGGGTTTGGAGCTCAAAACGCCTTTAAAATCCAAATAAAATGCATATTTGTCAATCCCAGGACATGTACTGATCATATATATCAAAAAATCTTAATATATGCCGTTTTGAAAAAAAAATCATATTTCAACAACTATAATAATACACATACTTGGGGTTTGGAGCTCAAAACGCCTTTAAAATCCAAATAAAATGCATATTTGTCAATCCCAGGACATGTACTGATCATATATATCAAAAAATCTTAATATATGCCGTTTTGAAAAAAAAATCATATTTCAACAACTATAATAATATTATAGATGTTGAAATATGATTTTTTTTCAAAACGGCTTATATTAAGTTGGATTTTAAAGGCGTTTTGAGCTCCAAACCCCAAGTGTCTGTGATATATTCAAGTTTTAGGCCAAAATAAAAAATATCCACATACTACAACCATCCTAGAAATTCTTTACTTTTGACCTTTTTTGTCATGTAACCAAACTGTAAGCACATCTTGTGTTTACCTTGACTACATTTATCACTGTAACAATGTCAATTATGGCGATAAAAACAAAATACCACTTACCAGTAGATTTACTTTACTTTTACACTAACTAAAGTCTTTAGTTTAGTTCAAAATATGTAAAATAAACGTTTTGAACTAATCCTTAATTTACCCAGTTACAAATCGCATTAATTTTCTAAAAAATATTTGAGATACAGACTCAGTTTTTTGTCAGTCTGCAGAAATGGATAATATGAAATTAGGCAAAGCCTATGGACGGGGAAGTCGGAAAAAATCCTTTCATTTTTCCGTTTTAAAGGTGTCATTCGGTATTATATGTACCCGCTTCCGTTTTCACTCGGAACACTCAACGATTATTATTAATCCGAAAAGTTGAGATTTGTTCCGTTATCGGAATACACCGCCTTTTATCATTGACTTACATTGTAAATGGCGGCGCCTAACTAGAACTGACACTGAAAATTTCATTGATAGGTATAGAATTCTATATATTTTTTAATTGTTTTTTTTTTATTTGATTTTCTTTTAAATATACACGTGTAGTCTATGGCCGGGCAAGCCAAAGCCCGGGCCCGCTTCGCTGGCCCGAACTTTGACTTCCCTGTATTAAGTTGGACCTCTGTTTCACTTTCATTAGTCATAGCTTCAAAAGCTATATATTTTGATATGTTCATATTTTACCGCATGATTCTTAATTGGAAGGTAATATGTCAGTAAAGTAACAGTCACTTAACCAAGGAAAAACAATTTCTCCAATAACTTTTCAGTAAGCTGTCACTTATACTCACTAAGATCAAAATATTTTCACAAGAACATGCTTTTTCTGTTATGCAAATTGAGATGTACATCCATATACCCCAATTGTGAGAGCTTTACTACTGCAAATAGGTATCAAGATTGAAAAATAGCATTACAAATAGGTTAAAATTGTTTATTATCATTTATCTGAAGTTGAGTTAGTAAAAATTTCTTTAAAATACATAACTGGTTATATTTTAACATTGTATGACATTTTTTATGAGGGACAGTATATATTTTGCTAACTGATTGAAAATGGCCTTATAAGAAATATTTGGTAAAGAGTCAACTCGGCACACTTTTGATATTGTGCTATTGATTGTAGTATCGGTTGGTCTTGCAGACTAGTATATCCGATTATTGGGTAAAATCATACAGCTGCAGACAGATTTTTAAGTCTACCAGTAGCCTAAATATTATCTATCTATATATATATATATATCTATCTTCTGTTAAATGTCACACCCCTCATGGGGACGTAGACAGGACTCTAAAACTGAGCTATCATGCGTCCTTGACAGAATAAAATGAAATCTACTCCGGGCTACTGCAGTGCTAACATCCAAGCAGGGTCTTAGGCCCTTTGTGAAATTAGAAAATTCCTGTTTAAGTTTTTGCTTGCAAAACCATTCACGAATTGGAAAACCTAGCCAAACGCTGTTTTCCGGTACTATCTGTACATAGTTCTGTGGAATTCACCAAATGGAGTGTAATAACGAACTCTATGATTTTGGCCATTTTTGAATTGAAAAAAATTAATTTTTTTACTTAGAAATTTTTTGGTTTAAGTTTTGTGACATACAATATTAAATCTTCAAAACTGCTGATCTATAATTATAGTATATTCACTTTTTTTTTGCATTAAAAGTGAAGGTAATTTTCCAAGACCTCATATGCAGGGCTTTTTTTCACAGGTAGGGGAGCAGCCCTGCCCTGAATTTGGGGGGAAAATTACATGGAATATTTGCAAAAGGGGAAGAAAAAACTTGATGTAAATTTAATTTTTCGGGAAAACTGCATGATTTTAAAGAATTTTTCGTTATGGACTAAATTAAAATTGGTTAAAAGCAAATCCAAGAAGTCATAAAAACTATTAAAAAATTAAATCTTTTTTTGGGGAGATTTAAAACCCCCCCCCCCCAAGGGGGCCCCCCCACCCAAAAAAAGCCCCGCCCCATACAAAAATTTTTTTTTTTTTTTTTTTTTTTTTTCCCCCCCCCTTTTTTTTTCCAAGGGGGCCCCCCCTGGGGGGGGCTTTAAAAAAATTCCTCCCCCTTTTTAGTTATTTCAAAAAAAAACCCACCGGGTGAATCCGGGGAAAATGGGAGCCCTTTTTTTCTCATTTTTTTTTTCTCCTTGAATTTTTTTAAACCAAAAAATTTGTTGGGAAAAGCTTTTTTTTTTAAAAAAACTTTTGTTTTTTGTTCCGTTTCTGCGGCGGGGTTTTTGGGGGGTTTGGGGGGGCCCAAAACCTTTTTTTTTTTTTTTTTTGGTTTTTCATTTTGGGGATTTTTCATAATTTAGTAACCATTTTAAAAATTAGCCCCCCATTTAAAATGAGAAAACTGAGAATTTTTTTAAAGGGGATGTTATTTGACTAAAGAACCAAAAAATTCCCGTTAAAGTTTTTTTAAATGGTTTTTTAAATTTTTTCATTTTTAAATTAAAAAATGATTTTGTTTTAAAAAAAATTTGTTTTTTTTGAAATTTTTAAAAAAATTGTTGAACATTTTTTTAAAAAAAAAACATTTAATTGTTTAAAATTTGGTTGTTTTTTTTTGCATTATGAAAATCCAAAGACTGGGATTTTTTTTTGGATTATTAATCTTTTTTAAATTATTATAAAAATTTAAAAAATTTTTTCTTTTTTTTATTTCAAATGAAAAATTTTTTTTTCAGCATGAAACTTTTTTCCTATTTTATGGGGTTTTGTATTTTTTTATTAGGTATAAAAAGGGGTCTTTTAAAAATTAAAAAAGTGAAAAATGCAAAAATGAAAAGAAAATTAAAATTTTTAAATTTAAAATTTTTTTCTATGTATGGAAATTATAAATTTTTGTTCCAAACCCTTTTAAAAATTTTTTCAAAAACAAAAAGAAATAAATTCTATTTTATTATAAAAAACTTAATTTTTAAAATTTTTTTCAAATCTTTGGGGGGGGTTTTTTTTTTTAAAAACATAATCATTCCACCCGGGCCCTTTTGGGCCCCTTTTTTCCCCAAAAAGGGAATTTTTAAAATTAAAAAAAGTTAAAAAAAAATTTTTTTTTAAAAAAAATTTTTTTTTTTTAAAAAATAGAATAAAACTTAAAAGAAAAAATAAACCCTAAAAATTTTTTTATGCAAATTAATAAGAAAAAAATTTTAAAATTTTAAATTTTTTAAGAAA